CTCTGTAGCCAGCCAGCACAACAACCATATCCTTGTATATAGGCTATTCAGTAAAACCTGAAGGAAATACAAGTCTGGGCCAAACACAGATATCTGCAACTAGATTTTTTCCTATTTCCAGGACAGAAAAATCACACAAGTGAGAATGCCAGGTATAAAATCCTCACAAGTCAGGAACAGACTATGGGATTCTCCATATGTATCTGACCAGCTTAATCTTTTACAAGGTTTTTGTCCCAAAGAAAAATTCAGTTATCGTTAATGCTAAGAATTTAGAAGAGCAACAGGAAATCAGCAGTGAAATCCTTGGTGAAAATAAAGAAAAGAAAAAGGTAAGATATTCCTCTTTACCAACCACATATAATTAAAATATGAAACTCTCTGTTGTAGAAAACTAAAGCTCACAGAGCAATGCAGACTCAGAGAAGAATAAAGTATTCATCCTCTCAGAAAGAGAAAAGATTAGCTCCACAAGGACAGGTCTCCAAATTGATACCAAATCCAGGAGTTAGAGATGCCTGTGCTGCAGAGCGTGATCTAAGCACCAGCTGGGGTCCCAGAGAAAAATCCCTAGGAATATATAACCAAGGAGCTAACACTGTAAGAATGTGCAGATTAGCTCTTCTGAAAAGTGGCTGGATAGAAAATGAATTAAGAAAAAGACCAAAAAAAAAAAAAAAAAAAAAAACAAGAAACAAGAGGCAACACCAGACATACTCAGCTACCTCATCTTCTACAAAGGAGCCCAACCATCCTCACTGGAGGAAAGATAGCCTCTTTTATAAATGGTGTTGGAAAAACTTGCTTTCAACTTGCCGAAGAATAAAACTAGATCCTATCTTTCACCATGCACTAAACTAAAATCCAATTGGATTAAAGATCTAAATATTAAAGCAGAAACACTGAACTTACTGGAAAATAAATTAGGTAGAACTGTTGAAGACAGTGGCATAAGAAAAGATTTTATGAACAAAACCTCAGGAGCATGGGAATTTGCACAAAGAATCAACAACTGAGATCTCATTGTATTAAAAAGTTTTTACAGTGCAAGAGAAACCACGAACAGACCTAAGAGACAACCTACAATGTGGAAAAACATTTTTACCAGCTGCTCCTCCGACAAAGGACTACTATCTAGAATATATAAAGAACTTGAAAGGGTCAGTGGTTCCACTGCCTGCCTCGCAAGTACAAGGTCCTGAGTTCGATCCCAGATACCAAAAAAAAAAATCAGACCACCCAAAAATAAAGACCCATTTAAAAATGGACATCTGAAATGAACAGACATTTCTCAAAGAAGTAAAATCAGTAAATAAGTATATGAGAAAATGTTCAACATCACTAGTCTTTCAAGAGATACAGATGGAAACAACACTGAGATTCTATCCTACTCCAGAAAGAATGGCTGCTATCAAGAAATCAAAAAAAAAAAAAAAAAAAAAAAAAAAAAAAAAAAAAAAAAAAAAAAAAGTCATTCAAGAGATACAGATGATAACAACACTGAGATTCCACCTCACCCCACAAAGAATGGCTGCTAAGAAGAAATCAAACAATAACATGTTGGCGGGGCTGTAGAGAACAAGGAACCCTTCTCCATTGTTGGTGGGAGTGCAGACTGGTGCAACTACTGTGGAAATCTATATGGATACCTCAAAGAACTAGGATCAGAGGTCCCATTTGACCCAGCTATCCCCCTCTGCTGGGTATCTTTCCAAAAGAATTAAAAGACTCATATCACAGTGATATATGCACACCCATGTTTATAATAGCACAGTTTGTGATAGCTAGAACTTTAAAACAACCCAAACGCCCATCAACCGGAGACTGGATAAAGATGTGGTTTTTCTATAAAATGGAGTACTACTCAGCCATAAAGAATGAGAAACTAGAACTTTGCTTATTGTGTTTTTGTTTCCTGTAATACATATATTAACTTTAAAAAAATAAAATTACTTTTAAAACTGAAAAAAAAAAGAATGAGAAACTAGAGACGTTTATAGCTAAATGGATGCACACTGAGGCTATACTCTTAAGTGAAATAAATAGGACACGCTTGAGTAAATACCGAATAGTTTCTCTGGTGTGAAAAACTGAAAGTGTAAATAATGTTCAAGTGGTATAACTGATAGGGTGAAATAGGAAGAAAATGGCTAAAGGGGAAGTGGAAAGGGGAGGGGAAAGGAAATGAGGGAAAGGAAAAAATGTGAAAAAAGGAAAAAATGGAAACCAAGTCTCTGTAAATAGGGAAGGGTGAAGGGGGTGAAGGGAGGGCAGGGGTATGGGGGAAAAAATAGGAACCAAGATATATCATATAAAGGTACAAGATCCCAATGATAAATGCAACTGTATTGTTTGCTTTAAATGTACCAATAAACAACAGAGGGAAAAAAACAAACAAAAAAAAGACAAGAGGCAAGATGAACAGGTCAGAGAATGAATCTACAAACATGAAAAAAGGTGGAAGGCAATCATCTATTTAGAAAAAAGGTACAATTTTTCTTTAGAGACTGTCATGCTGTTCATTCTTTGAAGATTAAAAAAAAATTGATTGCTGGGCATGGTGGCACATGCCTGTAATCCCAGCACTCGGGGCTGAGGCAGGAGGATCGCTCTGAGTTCGAGACCAGCATGGTCTACACAGTGAGTTCCAGGTCAGTCTCAACTACATAGTGAGACCCTGTCTCAAAAAAAGAAAGAAAAAAATTGATTGCATTCTTGTGTTCCAAGAGTTTTCATGTGTATTGCCTCATTTAACCACCCTTCAAAGAAAGTATTATGCAGTGGAAAAACTGACTCTAAGAGGTGAAGTAATTCAAAGTCATAGGGTAAATGGCAGGCAAAGAAGTAAAACTCAAGTTCGTCATATTCCAAAAATCCATTATGTCCTCTTTAACAAAAGAAGTTAATTCATCTGTGGTCAAACCAGATAATAAGGTTGCTTAACCATGCCATTTGGAGTTTTAAATATATATATATATATATATATATATGGTAGCACATATTAATGAGTCTAATATCTCATATGGTTGCAAAATGTTTCTGAAAAGAAATCCAAAGGTAGATTTTCAAAACTGCTTTGAAAAATAGTCATATCACTTAGGTGATGCCACCCCTACCACAAACAGTCCACACCAGTCTAAATAGCAACACTGGGGCCAGGGATGTAGCTTAGCTGTGCTTCACCTGCCTGGCAAAAGCAAGGTCCCAAGTTTAATCCCCAGTACCATTAAAAAAAAAAGAAGAGCAACATTGCAACATTGGAAGATTAAGTTCTGGTGGCGTTATTAAAATCAGTTTCTCTGTTTCATTTAATTAGCTCTTTTTTTTTTTTTCCTGCCAATGAATCACACCAAGGTTCGAAACGGCCTCTGTAGTAACTGATTCAGAAAGTAAGAGGAAAGAGGTAGAAGAGAAATATCAAAATTTTTCATTCCCAGGCTGCCACATGCCTACTAACATATTTCTCATTTCCATCATCTGTAAAATAGAGGCACTAAGTCTTTTCTATTGCCAATCATCAGAAAAGCACATGTATTAATTAGCAGATTAAACCCACCTAACATCTGACAGACAAGATAAATCTGGTGTGACAATGCCATTTTAAAAATCCAAGGGCCGGGCCAGGGATTTAGCTCAGTGGTTCCACCACCTGCCTTCGTCAGCACAAGGTCCTGAGTTCAATCCCCAGTACCAAAAAGACAAACAAAAAAAAATCCAACGGCCATGTTCTCAACTGAAACCAAAGACTGAGTTCTGACTTATGTTACACAAACATAAACGCTAGTATCATTACTTCTTGGGCCCCATTAAAAATTCATCCAATCCCCAAATCCAGGTGTACTTTTAACAGAAAAGTTTGGGATGCAGTGAAATCTAAAATACATACACACACACACACACACACACACACACACACGAATCTTTCACACTGAAAACAAACATTGTTAGTATTTGTAAATATGTTTCTTCTCTTAGCAAACATGACTATGTGTTTTAACTTCTTCAGCCTGGGATAATCCAACCCTTTCCATCCCTCAAAGCAATTTGCAGTTTATTAAGGTGGGAAAATCTACCAGGCTTCAAGGAAACAAGGCATCTAAAAAATGTTTATTAGAAAGTTGATCTCATATACGGACATATAGTTTTGGGTTTTTGGGGGTTTTTTTGGTTGTTTTTTTTTGGTTGTTTTTTTTTTTCTTAAGCATCAAACAGTCCTCTAGCTCCTACAGTGCAAAGGAAGGCCCTACTGCCTTCTAGAAAGTTGAGTATTTCATGATTCCTGGCCTTTCCTAGGAGGCCCATTTCACGGCCTCGTGTTAAGTCTCTTATTCCTGTCTTCTGAAGCAGAGATTCTCAAAATCAAGGATTCCAGGATTACCTGCATGTGAACCACCTGGGCTGAGGACTGCAAGCGCCCATGCACCACCTTATCAGAAATGTCCAGAGAATAAATCCCAGGAATATGCACAAATTACCTAGGTGACTGGAGACACACCCAAGCCTGTAACCTCTACGCTAAGGGCAAATCTTCCATCTGCCAGGACAGTGGGAAACACGCAATGGGAGAGCAGGGCGCAATTTCATATGGTGAGGAATCAAAGGCCTCGGCCAACAACCAAAATGTCAACACTGAAGGGGTCTCTGGGAGGTCAACATCGAATTCATTCCTTTGGACAAGATACGGAAAACAGGAAAAAAGGGAAACAGGTATGAAAATTAAAACAGACAAAGAGCCATTCTCGGTCTGCCACTGCCGCATCTGCTTCGCTGAAAGGATTACAGGAGACGTTTTGACTGGGACGGGAAGAGAACGCGACCCTCGGACTGACAAACTCGGGGCCACTTGTGTGGGCGTCTCGCTGTGGAGACAGTAAGGGGAGATATGTTGGGACCCCGGAATACTGCAGGGAAGCCGCCGAGGCCGCTGGAGGGAGGAGGCCAGGACAGCCCCCTCAAACCCCGGCCCAGCTCCAGGGCCGGGCGGCCCTCACTGCCCCTACCTTCGGCTTCCCGCAATGCAGCCGAGGGGCAGACACAACCCCCACAACTCCACGCGGCCACAGCGACAACCAGTTCCCGTGCGCAACCGCTGCGTCTACCGTCAGAACTCATAAGCACGCGGCTATTACGTCACTCATAGCCTCACCCAATTGGAGCGGGCCAGAACTGCCGGCGGCCGCTGGGCTTCCAGACAAGAGGGTAACCCCGCCCCATCGTCTGCATTAAGACCCGCCCACAAGCTCGCCCGGCCCACTAGATCTCTCTCGCAGACTTTCCGGACTTGTTTTCCTTTGTGTCCTTCCGCCAGGGTGAGACGATTTGTGATTCCACAGACCTGGTTTTGCTTCCAACCTAGAACTTCGGAACTTCTTTAACTGTCAGCCTAATTTCTTTCTCTTTCTAGCGGAAGGATCCTCAGAAAGAAAACCAGAGGAGCGTGGAAGATAAAAATAAATCAAGCCGTTCTGACTCAGTTTGTGACAGAAATTGAACCTCAAGAAGTTAATAGTCCTTTGAAAATTCATGCAAAACAGACCAACTGAAAGTTACTCGCTTTGAGTAATTGTGGATTGTGTAAATATTTGAAAACAATCGATTATTTAAAAGCAAAAAGGATGCCAGCAGTTCTATTTCCGCTCTACCACTAAATGCCATGTTTTATATACTGCACATTTACTTCTCATAATTTAGTAAGATTGTAACTGACGTCCCCTTTTATAAATGAAGAGTCTCAGTCTCAAAGAAGTTAAAGAATTTAGACAAGGGCTTGCAGTCAGAGAGTGACATAACAAGCTTCATCTGGGTGCCTCCAACGTCTTGTTCTCTTTCCATCGTACCACCTGTTAGACCTTCCCCTTAACTAGACATGCTAAATCTGACCGGGAAAATGGAGTACTCTGTGCTGCCCTCAGAACCCAGCTGTTACATCATGCGCGTTGGAGAAAAGGATACTCCAAACAAGCAGTGTCCCCAAATGCCATGTGTTCCCCCCAAGAGCCAACAATAGATCTGTTGAGTTCTTTCTCTTCTCTATACATTGTGTGAGCTTTCAGCAGTCAGTTTACCCTCTTATGTTTACTTTCAGCAAGTAAGAAATTCACAACCATTGAGCAAAACTTGGTTAGTACCTTGGGGAAAAAGAACAAACTCCTGGCAGTAGCCGTGTGGTTAGTGCCAGTTTATGAAGAAGATCTATATTAAACACTTCCCAGGGTACTGGGTAGGAAAGGACAGGGAACAGCTCACTTTCCCATGGCACACTTATGAGACCAATGAGAGAAGCTTGGCCCCAGTAATCATTCAAGCTTGTGTAACTATCTGGTACAGCCCCTGAGTCACAATGAGGTTATGTCCCATAAACTTTCTAGTTGAAAATACTATATATAGCTGGGGATTTAGTTCAGTGGTTCTGCTGCCTGCCTTGCAAGCACAAAGACCCGAGTTCAATCTCCGGTACCAAAAAAAAAGAAAATACTATATATCAAAAACGCATTTAATACACCTGCCATAAAAAAAAAAAAAAAAACTTAACAACACTGGACACTAGGTAGGGTATTGACTGTTTAACCCCCTGATTGCATGGCTGACTGACGCTGCCCACCACCTCAAGGAGTATCTTACTGTATTTTGCTAGCCTGGGAAATGATCAAAATTCAAAGTACAGATCTACTGAATTGCACTTTTATAGCATCATAAAGTTAAAACAATAATTCAAACCAATGTAAGTCAGGAACTATCTATATCATGTGGACAGGTGATGTTGAATGAATATTGCATGAGTCATGAATTACAGAATGAACATATAAATTATATAAAGCCTGACACATTGTAAAAAAAAAAATTAGTAAAGTGCTATTAAGCCAGGCATAGTGGCACATGCCTGTAATCCCAGCATTCTAGGAGGCTGAGGCAGGAGGATCACAAATTCAAGCCCTTCCTTGGCAACTTAGCAACATATTGAGACACTGTTTCAAAACTAAATAAATAAATGGCAAGGGATGTAGCTTAATGCAAAAGCTCTGGGTTCAATCCCTAGTACCACAAAAAAATAAAAATAAAAGTGCTATAAGAGTAACATCCTTAAAAATAGAATATGCTTAACTTAGAATAAATTAAATAAATGCAAGGGAATGTCCACCTGGACACTGAGCCACCAAAACTCAAAGGGGCCTGGTTTCTTCCTTGAAACAGATCTATGCTTCTCAGGTATTTGGGGAAGACATAATCTATGCCTTCCAGTGCATAAACCTTGAAAAAACCTCTGCTATATTCTGAATATTGGTGTCCACCCAAAAATAACTTGTACATTGAACCTAATACCTAATGTGATAGTATTAAGAGTTGAGCCACACTGGGCATAGTAGTACATGCACTCAGGAGACTGAGGTAGGATCACCTCAAATTCAAAGCCAGCCTGGGCTATGTAGTGAGTTTAAGCATAGCCTGAACTACATAGCAAGACCCTATCTCAGAAAAAAAAAAAGAAGAAGAAGAGAGTGAAGCCCTTGGGGAATGGGATTCGTTATAAAAGAAGTTGAAGGAAGCTGCCTTGCCCCTTTGTCATGAGAACCCATACCAGTAAGGCACCACCTTTGAGGCAGAGAACAAGCACTCACCAGACACTGGGTCTGTTGGTACCTTGATCTTGAACTCTACAGCTTCTGGAATTGTGGGAAGTGAATTTTTGTTGTTTTATTTGGTTGGTTGATTGGTTTGTTGGTTTGGTTTTTTTCAGACAGGATCTTGTTATGCTGTTCAGGCTGGCCTTGAACTCACTATGTACCCTAAATCATATGTCCTCAAAATCATAGTGATCCTCCTGCCTCAGCCTCCTGAGTGCTGGGATTATATCTCCATACCACCATACTTAGCTATGGGTGAGGGGTACTGGCGATCAAACCCAGTGTGGTCACACTGAGCTATATCCCAGCCTCTTTTTTCTTTCTTTTACTTTCTTCCTTCCTTTCTTCTTTCTTTTTTTATTTTTATTTATTTTTTTTTAATAGAGTCTGACTCTAAGTCACTAAATTGCTGGGTCTGGGCTTGAAGTTGGATTACTTCTATCTTAGCCTCCCAGAGTGCTGGGATTATAAGCATGTGCCACCATGCCCAACTCTGTTTTTTATAAATTGCCCAGACTGACGTTTTTGTTTTTCTAACAGCAGCCCCAGTGGAGTGAAAAACCCTGATGAGAACCATCTTCTCAGAGGTACTAGCTCTGCGCTCGACTCCTCAGATGCTGAAGGCAGTATGTAAATTTGGTCCTAAGTAAACAATGGCCTCAAGCAATACAAAGGTAGAATGTGAAACCCAAGGATCAGAGGATGTGGGGAGGGTCTCTATCACTCCTGGAATTCAGCAAAATTAAGTTTAAATTAGTAAACAACAACAAGAGCTCTCTCCCCCTTACATCTCTGATGGACAGCTTCTAGCTTCCCTCTTCCATTCCCTAGAAGAACAAAAGCTTGGGAGGGTACGGAGCCTGAGGAAAAATCTTCAACCCAGCTACCATTAGTCAAACCAAAAGCAACCACAGCACCCAGTCCAGAGCCCTGCTAGGCAGAGATTTATATGATCATTTTGGCCTTTTCAACAAGCAGAATGCGTTGAGCTTATCGTTTCTCTTCTGATCAGCCTTTCACAATCTCCTGCGAGCTGGACACCCTGTTTGGTAAATACATTCCCAGCATCAGGAATTGGCTCCCTGCTCTCTCCGGGTGGGCCTAGAATGTCAAGAGAGGGAGCAGGAGCCCTAGCTGTCTGGTCCCACCACTGTATGTCCTGCTTCCTCTTCTCTGCCCACCCAGCTCTCGCCATATACCTAAAATCTGCCTCCAGGACTCAAGACATGTCATTCACTTGAGCATTCATCTCCTGCCTGTAGAGATGAAGCTATGAAACAGTCCTGCTGGAACCTTACCCTCCAAGAGCTCAGAGTAAAGTGAGAGATACCAAAATATAAACAAAACAGCCCAGCAGGTAGCATTTTACAGAAATATTAATGAGGGGATTTACCTTAGTTGTTCTGCCACCTGCTTCACAAGCACAAGGTCCTGAATTCGATCCCCGGTACTGAAAAAATAAAATAAAATACTAACACAAATATAGTAGGGGACTTTAACACCCCACTTTAAAAAACAGAAATATTAATAAATACAGTGGACCCTTAACTTATGAAGTCAGTTTGTTCATGAGGGCTGGTTGTAACTCAAGTTGGTCAATGAACACTCAGGCTCCTCTACACGGCCTTCAAAGTCTCTTCTGTATTCAGCAGATCTGTGTCTTTAGAGAGTCACTGGCCCTGGATTTCTCAGTTAACCCCACACAGGAAAGGATGCTGTAATGTTCCTTCCAGAATTCTTTATGGGTTAAATCTGTATCTGAGACCATCCGGAAGAACAAGCGGCCAACCTACAGGTCATAACTCAAGACTTTGTTCATAAGTTAAAACTAAAATTCCGGTCATAATCCAAGTTATTCATATGTCAGGCCAGTCATAACTTGAGGGTCCACCATAGCCTAAAGAGTAAGTCCACTCAGTTCATACTACTGCCTTTCCAAGCCCCTTAAGTAGAGGCCTCTCACATTTCATCAACTGTTTGCTCCAGATGCACCTATGAGACAGGTGGGGCAGATTTTGTCCACACTTCCCAGATAAACAAAAACTCTTCTCTCTCAACTCTTCAGAACTGTGCTGTCCAGTATGGTAAACGTTAGCCACCTGCAGCTATTGGCTGCCATATTGGGCAGCAATAATTACAGAACATTTCCATCACTGCAGAAAGCTCTGTTGGACAACAGTACTTTAGAGGTACTGAGAGGCAGTGCAAGGGCAGGAGTGTTCCCAAAAAAAGCTAAATTGAGCAGCCGATAGGGAAAAAACAGGAAACAAAGGGCGGTTCTAGAGGAGACCAAGAGGAAGTTCTTCTGAACCAAAGTCCTCCACTGCCTGGGCTGTACTCAGATGGGGTGGGCATCAGCTGTCAAGTCAGTGCAGAAAGCAGATGACCTCTCTCCTGGTTCTCAGGCACACTCAAGCCCATGTCAGCAGTTTCATTGATGATAAGCAAGAATTCTAGGTCTCTCCACCCCCAGGAGAC